ATATATATATACATACACATATATACATGTATATATACATATATACACACATATATATATATGTATATATACATATACGATACCTAAACCAATACATATACTTATGTGCATAGGTAGTAATTCACCTACATAGTTCCCCGTACATGTATACATACATACAGCTGTGTATCTGCATGTCGACGATGCACAGCAAAATGACCATATATCTACCTTACCTTACTATATGTCCTTGTTTCCCCTTCGGCAACGTTGTCACCCACACTCTCCGTCATCCAGTGCACAATATCTGTCCGCCTAAAGGCCTCATCCAGTTTGTAGTACGCCCGACTGGCCTGTTTGTCAAACTCTTTGGGTTTGCACCTCAATAGCACCCGGAATTTCTGGACTATCTCGTCTGTCACTCCCTGTGGCTGCGGTTTATAAATAGAACTCAGGACTCAGTGGACAGGTGGATGTTAGACCGGACAAGGAACATACATACACAGACAGGATGCATAAACCAGTCACTGAACAACTGGTACGGTATGCGTGTACTACCTGTGGCCACAATTTATAAATAGAACTCAGGATTCAGTGGACAGTTGTATAAATAATAAATAGCATTGTTCCTTTCCACCAGTGCTGAAGTCTGGAATTCTGGCTCTATATTCCAAAATGGCCAAATGGTCTTGCAGGAACACACACTTCAGGGGTACCCTCAATAACGTAACATGACGCGAAACAGGTATTCATAGATAGGGAAAAAGTTACATATAAATAGGAAAACGTATTAGCGAATAGGAAACCGTACTTGCAAGTCGAAAACACCGGCATAGTAGGAGTCCGACGATTCCAAACAACGGTGCATGAAAAAGCCAGTTTTTGTGAATTTGTCGGGTGACACAAACTCGTGCATTCAGCTCCGATTTGTGAGCTAAACGAATGTACTTATACATAGGAAACCGAATTTAGAAATAGGAAAACTTACTTACAAATAACATATAAGTAACCATACCTGCAAGTCAAAGAATCCTGTATAGTAGGAGTCTGACGATTCCAAACAACGGTGCATGAAGAAGCCAGTCTTTGTGTACTTGGCCGGTGACAGAGTGATAGTGCCTTCTCCCGCGGTACTATATGCTGCTGCCTGCTCTACGATCTCATTTTGGCTTGAGGCGGGATAGCTGCAGGCAATAGGTGATGAGAAAGAGAAAATCAACTCACATGCATAGTGAACAGTACACATGAAGAAAGAGTGACACATACGTAGGACTGACCATACACACCAATATACACGACAGTCTCTGGCATCCTTGGCCAGTTGTTGTACTATAGCATCCTTAAGAGTGTGATACACATGAATAGAGAGTAACACACACAGGACTGACCATACACACCAATATACACGACAGTCTCTGGCATCCTTGGCCAGTTGTTGTATTATAGCATCCTTAGAGTGTGATACACATGAATAGAGAGTAATACACACGTAGGACTGACCATACACACCCATATACACGGCAGTCTCTGGCATCCTTGGCCAGTTGTTGTACTATAGCATCCTTTGCTTCCTGTGCCGAGGCGTGTACCTGGTCTAAGAACATCATGCGTTGGATAAATCGGCTGAAGTTCTCATCGGCCGTCATCACTTTCAGTACATCACTGCGAACGGGATATTCATAATAAGGTCAGTAATATATATAGGCATGATTGTTCTGTATATATCCTAATCATAGAATAATACTCAATTGCGATACAAGCATGTCTGACATCCGCTCGCACCTCACAATGTCTATACAGATCACACTAAAAGTATATTCGTACGCAAACAAGTCTTTACATTGAATACAACACGCGCACACAGACACACACGCGCACTTACATCCGCTCTACCCTCACAATGCCCATACAGATCACACCCGATATCTACAATGGCACAAGTCATTTAGCCAGCCAGTGCTTCCAGACACACAACACCGCTTAACACCCTCTACCACAACCACAAAGTATCCTACACGCACACCTACAACAACCACAAATTACCCTACACGCACACCTACAACAACCAAAAAGTATCCTACACGCACACTTACATCAACTCCCCTCGCACAATCTCCATGTAGATCACACTAGAGGCCCTGGCCTTGGTGATCCCCCACCGCAGAGCCTTTTCTGTAACGATGTGTGACAGCTCGATCTCACTGCCAAAGAAGTCGGTGTTCGCGTGTGTCTTGTCTGCAGGCTGCTCCTGGGTGTTCTGTGGGGTGGGTGTTGTCGAACATGCACATACGGGCATGTGCCTAATGAGTACATAACGAAACGCGTATAAAGATGCACCTTGTATCAAGACTATGATATATATATATATATATATACCGATTATCCCTGGAAAAGGGATGTACGTAGTTGACCACATGAATATAGATAAGGAGATGGACCTGCATACTTCATACATAGCGTACATCACGTGTGTAGTAACACAAGTTCAACTATGAGTACACACTCGCACCAATTGAGACGGTTCTAGATCATCCAGACACCCCTGGCGAGTTGCTGCCAAAAGATTCGATGGGCCGCATGTATATGAAGCCATACATACGCGTGCGTGCATACTTGCTTGCTTCTCCGCCCTCTTCCCATAGCACACTTACTTGTATTCTGAAGTACCAACGTGTATCATGAAGCATTTACTTCAACTCTAAGGCAACTAACTACCAGTGTCTCTAGACACTAACCTACACTAGCCTACATCCTAAAGCACATACTTGTATCTTAAAGGGTTTCCCGCTTGCCGTGTAGCCTATCTCTGGCGATTGATCCTTCGAGTACATGTCGATGAGATAGTTGGTGATTCGGCCACTAAGCGCATCTCCCACCATGAACGCTATTGTTGTATGGCCATTTCTCAGGAGTTCAGAGTCTGGCTGATCCTGTGGCTCGTAGTGTTTATAGAAGCACTCCTCGTTTCCGGTACAGTCGCCCACCTAGCCGAGACAAAAAGTAGGAGATACAATATGAGGATTTAAATAAATAAAGATATGTATGCGCATGTATATGAATGCGCATCTTATTTATGTTCATCTGTGCGTGAGTACATGATCATATATATATATATATATATATATATATATGTATATATATATATATACTCACACACACCACCACACACACAC